AATATCCCTGATGAACATAGATGCAAAAATCCTCAATAAAATTCTCGCCAATAGAATGCAACAACACATCAAGATCACCCACCCAGACCAAGTGGGATTTATCCCTGGTATGCAGGGATGGTTTAATGTGCGCAAGACAATCAATGTGATACACCACATTAACAGACTGCAGAAGAAAAACCATATGATTATCTCAATAGATGCCGAGAAAGCATTTGATAAAATACAACACCCGTTCATGATGAAAACTCTAAGCAAACTGGGTTTGGAAGGAACATTCCTCAATACAATCAAAGCAATCTATGAAAAACCCACAGCCAGCATCCTATTGAATGGGGAAAAGTTGGAAGCATTTCCACTGAGATCTGGTACCAGGCAGGGATGTCCACTCTCACCACTGCTATTCAATATAGTTCTGGAGGTTCTAGCCAGAGCTATTAGGCAAGAAAAAGAAATTAAAGGGATACAAATTGGGAAGGAAGAACTCAAACTATCCCTCTTTGCAGATGACATGATTCTTTATTTAGGGGACCCAAAGAACTCTACTAAGAGACTATTGGAACTCATAGAAGATTTTGGCAAAGTAGCAGGGTATAAAATCAATGCACAAAAATCAACAGCCTTTGTATACACAGGCAATGCCATGGCTGAGGAAGAACTACTAAGATCAATCCCATTCACAATAGCTACAAAAACAATCAAATAACTTGGAATAAACTTAACCAAGGACCTTAAGGATCTCTACGATGAAAATTACAAAACCTTAAAGAAAGAAATAGAAAAGGATACCAAGAAATGGAAAAATCTTCCATGCTCATGGATTGGAAGAATCAATATCATCAAAATGTCCATACTCCCAAAAGCAATTTATAGATTCAATGCAATACCAATCAAGATACCGAAGACCTTCTTCTCAGATCTGGAAAAATTGGTGCTGAAATTTATATGGAGGCACAAGAGACCTCGAATCGCTAAAGCAATCTTGTACAACAAAAACAAAGCCGGAGGCATCACAATACCAGATTTCAGGACATACTACAGGGCAGTTGTAATCAAAACAGCATGGTACTGGTACAGAAACAGATGGATAGACCAATGGAACAGAATTGAAACACCAGAAATCAACCCAAACATCTACAGCCAACTTATATTTGATCAAGGATCTAAAACTAATTCCTGGAGCAAGGACAGTCTATTCAATAAATGGTGCTGGGAAAACTGGATTTCCACGTGCAGAAGCATGAAGCAAGACCCCTACCTTACACCTTACACAAAAATCCACTCAACATGGATTAAAGACCTAAATCTACGACCTGACACCATCAAGTTACTAGAGAACATTGGAGAAACCCTTCAAGATATTGGCACAGGCAAAGAATTTCTGGAAAAGACCCGGGAGGCACAGGCAGTCAAAGCCAAAATCAACTATTGGGATTGCTTCAAATTGAGAAGTTTCTGTACTGCAAAAGAAACAGTCAGGAGAGTGAAGAGACAACCAACAGAATGGGAAAAAATATTTGCAAACTATGCAACAGATAAAGGGTTAATAACCAGAATCTACAAAGAGATCAAGAAACTCCACAAAAACAAAACCAACAACCCACTTAAGAGATGGGCCAAGGACCTCAATAGACATTTTTCAAAAGAGGAAATCCAAACGGCCAACAGGCACATGAAAAAATGTTCAAGGTTATTAGCAATCAGGGAAATGCAAATCAAAACCACAATGAGGTTCCACCTCACCCCGGTTAGAATGGCTCACATTCAGAAATCTACCAACAACAGATGCTGGCAAGGATGTAGGGAATAAGGGACACTAACCCACTGTTGGTGGGAATGCAAACTGGTCAAGCCACTATGGAAGTCAGTCTGGAGATCCCTCAGAAACCTGAAGATAACCCTACCGTTCGACCCAGCCATCCCACTCCTTGGAATTTACCCAAAGGAATTTAAATTGGCAAAAAAAAAAAAGCGGTCTGCACCCTAATGTTTATTGCAGCTCAATTCACAATAGCTAAGACATGGAACCAACCTAAATGCCCATCAACGGTAGACTGGATAAAGAAATTATGGGATATGTACTCTTTAGAATACTATACCACAGTAAGAAACAACGAAATCCAGTCATTTGCAACAAAATGGAGGAATCTGGAACACATCATGCTGAGTGAAATAAGCCAGTCCCAAAGGGACAAATACCATATGTTCTCCCTGAACAGTGACAACTGACTGAACACCAAAAAGGAAACCTGTTGAAGTGGAATGGACATATGGGAAACGGTGACTTGATCAGCATAGCCCTGACTGTTAATGAACAACTTAATACATTATCCCTCTTAGTAGTTTTTTTGTCTGTTCTACTTAATATGACTGGTTTAATTCTGTAATTAATACACAGTTATTCTTAAGTGTTGAAATTTAACTGAAATGTGATCCCTGTTAAACATAAGAGTAGGAATAAGAGAGGGAAGAGATATATAATTTGGGACATGCTCAAGCTGACTTGCCCCAAATGGTAGAGTTAGAAACATACCAGGGGACTCCCATTTAATCCCGTCAAGGTGGCATGTACCAATGCCATTTCACTAGTCCAAGTGATCAATTTCAGTTCACAATTGATCATAATGAAAGGACTAAGAGTCAAAGGGAGCACATAAACAAGTCTAGTACCTGCTAACACTAACCGATAGAATAAATAAAGGGGAGAGTGATCCAACATGGGAAGTGAGATACTCAGCAGACTCATAGAATGGCAGATGTCCTAAACAGCACTCTGCCTCATAATCAGCCCTTAAGGCATGCAGATCTGGCTGAAATATCCATGAGAGTATTTCAGGCATGGAAAGCCAAGACACTCTGGCAAAAGATCTCTGTGAGTGAGATCTCAGTGGAAAGAACAGGTCTTCAAAGAAGGAGGTACCTTTCTCTGAAGGGAGGAGAGAACCTCCACTTTGACTATGACCTTGTCTAAACAAGATAAGAATCGGAGAACTCAGAGGGCTTCCATAGCCTTGGAAACTCATGACTGGAGCATAGGGAGATTACTGATGCCATAGACAGGAGTGTCAATTGGTAAAGTCAACAACAGGAGTCACTGTGCACTTACTCCTCATGTAGGATCTCTGTCCTTAATGTGCTGTGCATTGAGATTTAATGCTATAACGAGTACTCAAACAGCGTATTTCACTTTGTGTTTCTATGGGGGTGCAAACTGTTGAAATCTTTACTTAATGCATACTAAACTGATCCTCTGTAAAAAAAAAAAAGAAATTATCAATTCCCAACTTGACTCTCACTGGGATTAAACATGACAATAGGTCTGATCTGATTTCATCATCATTTAAAAAAATCATCTATTATTTTTCACTTTATGTTTCTGTGTGGGAGCAAACTGTTGAAATCCTTCCTTAATGTATACTAAGCTGATCTTCTGTATATTAAGATAATCGAAAATGAATCTTGATGTGAATGGAAGGGGAGAGGGAGTGGGAAAGGGGAGGGTAGTGGGTGGGAGGGACGGTATGGGGGGGAAGCCATTGTAATCCATAATTCGTACTTTGGAAATTTATATTCATTAAATAAAAGTTAAAAAAATTTCAAAAATAATACAATGAAAGATAAAATAATATAGAATAAAAGTTAAGAGTCAAAATGAAAAACATATAAAATGTATTTGGCATTTTAAGTTGAAAAGAGAGAAAAGATTTTAACATTTTTTCAACTGTGGTTTTATTATTACTACTCAGTAGAAAACTATTTGTCTTACTCTACTATGAAATCTTATCAAAAGCCAAAAGTTTACCCTAAATACTTCACATAGAAGTTAATCAGTGTCAATGCTTCCATAAATTTAATTATTTTATAGATTGGAGGACAAAATAAAAATATAATTCAAATTAACTACATTTCCTATCCTGCTTTAAAGATTTTAAAAGTGATAGATAATTTCCTTGCCATAGCCAGAAGGTCATCAAAGAATATATTAAACATATCAACACACTGGCAAAAAAGGAAAATATGAGTACTAATAGAAACAGTAGCTTTAAAGAATTATTAAATATCTGGGGTGGGGTGGGCATTGTGGCACAGCAGTTATGCCTGTTGGAACATCTAAATCCTATATTGGAGTGCTGGTTCCAGTTCTGGTTTCTCCACTTCTGATCCAGCTCCCTGCTAATGTGCCTGGGATAAAATGGATGATGACTCAAGTGCTTGAGTTCCTGACACCAATGTAGGAGGTCCAGATGGAGTTCTTGGCTCCTGGTTGGTGTGGCCATTTGGGGAGTGAAACAGATGAAACAGAGAATGGAATCAATCTCTCTCTCTCTCTCTCTCTCTCTCTCTCTCATCTTTCAAATACATAAAAATTTCCTTAAGAGGACTAGTAAAAAATCAAACATGTATTTAGCCTCATGGTTAATATGTCCATATCTTATATTGGAACACCTGGATTTTGGATCCAGCTTTGGCTCCTGAATCCAGTTTCTTGTCAATGCACACTCTAGCAGGTAGTAGCAATGACTCAAGTAGTTGGGTTCCTGCTACCCAAATGAGAGATTTGGATTCTGTTCTTGGCTCCTGGTTTTGGTCCGGTTCCAACTCTGGACATTGTGGGCATTTGGTGAGTGAACCAGCAAATGGAGTTTGTCAGCCTACATAGGTGCTGGGTTCAAGTTCCAGCTGCTCCACTTCTGATCCAGCTCCCTTGTCAACTGGGTCCAGCCCTGATGATCGAGACCATTCAGGAACTGAATCAAGAGCTGGAAGATCTTTATCTCTCCCTCTCTCTCTGTAACTCTACCTTTCAAATAAACAAATAAATATTATTTAAAAAGTTATCTGACATGTGAAAACGTATTAACCTATACATCTGCTTAATTCTGTTTCCTGTAATTTTGAACTGAGTAAATAAATGTGAAAGTGTTCTGAAAAGTTCTATTTCTATATTAGGTGCCACTCTATTAAGTTGTTAAACACAAAAAGTCAATGTTGATATTTTCAATATTTATTGGTAAGGCTGAGGCAACAGCCTTTATACAGCACAATTTACATAAGTTATCAAGATACATCTTGTATGCAATCACAAAACCAAGACATATTTTTACATAGAGTAAAACTCAAGACAGATTTACAGGCATTTTTAAATACAATTCTCATGTACTTTCAGGTCAATTTATACAATCTTTAGCCCGAGAATTTTCATTTGTTCATTAGGTTTTTCCAGAGGGATTTGGGTATAACAAAGAACACATTAGCAAATCACCAACATGGCATGCAACATATAGTCAGAAACAAGACATGTCTCCAAGTACTTTATGATTTTTTATTTTGAAATAATTTTAATAGATTTTTATCTTTCAGACAACAATTTTTTTTCTTTAATGTGTTGTTAAGATATTAGCACACACATTTATCAGTAGTGGGAGCACCTGAGCACATCACCAAACAAATACAGACACAATAAAATAATCATATTCACATGCTAAGTGCCAAATGAAATTAATATTTCCACTTTGTCTATTTTACCAAATTTTATAGTATGTACAGGGTAACAAATTAAGAAAATGCTCTCAACTATCTATCAGATAAATTTTATCAGTGATTTCAGTTTAATAAAACAACATGGACATAACAGAAAACATCAATGTGTCATATTCAATGAGAATATCTGCTTCAGTCATTCATTACCCCAAAGGCAAGTATTTATTATTAAAGAAACAGGTTATATAATTCATTGAGTTTTCTTTCACTTTCCTTTCAAGCTCCAAAACAGGGAAAACTCACTCTGTCACACATAGAGTTATAAACACATATATAGTTGTAGTTGGCTGATTTTGGGATATTAGACATTATAGCAATGAAAATAAGTATTTAAAAATATTGTTAGTTATGATTAAAATTATAAAGTAAAAAAATACTATATCTTTATGATATTTTAATGAAATGAGGCATTGATCAAATAATTTCTAATAAATTGGGCACAATATAACATATAATTGTCTTTTACTTCACAGCATCACCATGGCTAGAACCACCAATGCTACCACCACTATCACCACAACCATTCCTATAATTAGAATCAGTAACAGCTGGTTACCAGCTATAATATTCCCACAATATGACAATTTTAATGTGTGTGAGCCACAAAATTAATTCCACTGATATGCTGAAGATATGCACTGAAGTAGTGTGATTTATCAAAATTTGGGCAACACATATGAAGATAATCATCTTGGATATTGTACTTTTAAACTGAAATGGTAAATAAAGGGTTCAGAGTCACCAAAAATCTCCTTTACCTTATGTAAAAATAAGGAAAACATCATCTTTTGCTACAAGTGTTATCTGTGTCCACAATGATTGTTCTGTAGTTCCCTATCTTGTAAAAAAATTCACTCTGTGCTGTTGCTTCTACAGCCAAAGTTTCTCAAGGACCAAATTTTAAATCAAGAGCCAACTTTGATGACTTCATGAAATTGTGAGAAAAATTGATACACTTTTCAAGGTAGAAGTGCTGGAATTGGACTAATCCTGCATTACCTAGAGATTACAAACTCTGTCACTGTTAGGATTTTAAAAAAAGCTAATTCCAATAAAATGAAATAAAAAGTGGAAAATCAGATGGTATGATATATACAAAAAAGTAAAAAAACACCAAGAGCCCTATTTGCAATTTAAAAAGGAATAGTTTTGTTGTAAGAAGGATAATCAACATCATTCAGAAGAAACGCACTCATATAAGGAACAGTGTTGCATAGAATAATTCCAGTACAACCTAGGAGTTCAGTCTGCTGCCAACTTGGCACACTGGCAGGATCTTATGCTCTCTAAATAGGTATGCTGGTGCACGAAAAGAAGCTCTGTTGTTTACTGTCTTGATGGACCTGGCCCAACCACTAGCTCCTTGGAATGGAGGAGCATCTCCAATTGCAAGACTCCTACTCTTTCAAGTGAATGAGCTACTGAGGGATGATTTTTGTTTGGGTAGTCCTTCCATTTGTATTATTCTAAAAGAAATTGCAACTAGCATGAGGTGGGCTAAGTGTTCATATGGCCTCTCATGCAGACCTCTGGATGCAGGTGGCTACAGAAGAGGACCAAAGATGAGCCAGGGTTTCCTTTTAAGGGCAAAGAGCAGAGCCTTTTTATGTCCAGAAGAGATCTTGGTTCTTTTACCTCCCCAATTATGAGTGATGATGATAGGTTTCCTCAAGTGCTAACTTCTGCTGGAAATATCCATGGCAACCATCAGCAGACCTAGTAGTTTCTAAAAATAAATTCCTAGCAACCCCATGTCTCTGATGATTTGCCTCCCCCATGCTCATTTTTGATTAATATCAATGGCATTGCATTGTTAGGATGGGGAATAAAAACAGAGGAGAGAAAGAGATGGTTCTCTTGGTTAGGTTGGAGAAGAGTAAACTTCTCTTCCTTTATGAATAGAATAAAGATTTAGCCTAGGACACATTAGAAATTCCTGTTTTTAGTGTTTTATGTTCTTCTCAGAATTAAAGTATTTTTTCTCTAAAATCTGAGAAAATTCAATACCCAACCAATATTTTGGAGGTGGTTTTCTCTAATCCTATTAAAACCTAATCCTTGTATAAAGCAGCAGCTTTTAAGTTCAGAATGTTCTAACAGGCAATTTAGTGTATTTCGGGCAGGATATGAAAATGGGATAAAATCAGTATTGTTCACTGAATTTAGGATAACAAGATTTGCAAATGAATTTCATTTAATTATTTACCTTCTTTCAGGTAAAATGAACATTTATATTTTAAATAAAAAATAAGTTTTGGAGCTAATTTATTATTTTTGTCCGTGCCAATGCTTGTCATTGGTTTAGAGGATGTTTTTCACATATAAAATTTGAGAATCAAAAAGCTACATAATAATCATTCCTCATTTCTGTGTATAAAACTATATTTGGAAATGTGCTTTCATCTTTCATAGATTTCTTGATTTGATCAACCCAAGAGCCTATTAGGAAGGCTAGTAATATATAATTATTTTTATCCTATAGATAAGGAAACTGGGGTAAAGTGAGTTTAAGTGACATTTGCAAAGTGACATCTGCAAGGTCATAGGCAGGACGAAGACAAAAGCCAAGTTTTGACCCCAGCAGAGTGTGTTTTCCACAACTCCATGTGATTTCCTTTCATCTTGTTGGCTGATGGAGAAGAGAATGCTTCACTTTAGTGATTCAGACATTGGTTGCTTCATTCTATATTATTAAAATACATTCAAAATATATTTTAATCTCAATAAATATTGATTTTAATGTATTTTCCCGCCATCAATTAATTTGATCACCGTAATATTGTTAACAAAGAAAGAATAAAGAGCACTAGACAGAACTTGATTTTGGTGTCAGCATTTTCATCATACAATTGGTTAGTGAATTAAGGGAAAATCATTATGGAAAAGCAGGAAATGACACCTATTTAATTCATCAATGTCATAAGGTTAATATGATTTGTTTGTCAGAGGAAGAATTTCCTTTCTCTGTCAATATATCATTCAAGAGAAAGGAAATATGTAGGACAACACATATATTTGCAGTTCCACATAGAACAAGTTCTCATGCTTCCTAGAACATATCCATTTAATCTAGGTCCTTCGGTGTCTAGATTGAAAATGCTATAGTTTAAGGTTAAATTATGGAGATTTTTATGTTTTAATCCAAGGTTCCAATATTTTGTTGGGCAACATTCCTTGCTAACTGATCATGGTTTTATTTCTAGATAAATGTAACTTCATTTCTACTAGTATGATTTTCACTTTATATTATTAAAATTATAATGAAATAAGTGTGCTTTTACCACATGGATTCCGAAAGTCATTTTTACACTCTTTTAACATTTGACACAGAGAAAATCTGTACTATTGTACAGTCAAGAAGCCATAATTTCTACATTTCCTGTTTCACTTTCCCCGTGAACCCAGCCATCTCACTTTCAGTCCTAGACATATAGTGTACGTTTATCTTATGTCAGAATCTCAAAACCATAAATTATCGAATAGGATATAGAAGGCTGTGTGAACTTTTGAAAACTGAGATTTGTTTCATCACTTTTTTCCTTTCAACCCACGTTTCTTTGCATAAGGATTAACTTTGTGCTGCATTGGGAACCATATTTATCTTTGAGTCTCTGTCTTTAACTACACTTAGCTTTGTGCAAACATATTTACCTTAGGTCATCAAAATTTCTCTCATAGTTTCATTTGACAGCCATCACAAATCCTAGGTCTCACAGCTATATTTAATTTTACAGTCTTCAACTGGTGAGTTCTTTTATTTGAGTCATTTTCTGTGCTCCACATAATAAAATTCCAAGGCTTTAACATATGTTTTTGCCTTCCATTCCCACATAATGTTTGCCACTGAAAACACTGCTTGGCACAATAGTATCCAACCACAGTCTTGATATGAGGTTATGTAGACCAGTTTCTGCACCCTGAGCAAACACATTTCTTCAGTGCGTTTGAGTAGAACTGACCAAAAGTTTGTGCCAGTTGACTATTCTTTTTCTGAGATCCACTTTGTCAAGCCAGATACAAGCTTCACCAATCAAGGTCTTTTTCATAAACTTCCCTCCATTGGAGAAAAGTAAAATCTAGGAAAAAAACAAAGTTATATGTGGGGGGGGGATATGGGTGTATGGGTGTATGGGTGTGTGTGTGTGTGTCTGTGTGTCTGTGTGTGTATTTTTCAACCTCTTTGAAGGAAACTTAACAAAGAAACAGCTCAGATAAGAGAGGGTGTGTGTGAGAGGCAGAGCAGGCATATTTATAAGAAGACGAACAACAAAGATGTCCTCAAAAGATCTGCATAATATAAATTAATTCACGTTAACATTTTTGTTATTTCCCAAAGGAAAAGACACATCCTGAATAATATGAGAGTGCTAGGTAAGTGAAGAAATGTGTAACCAGCTAATTCTAACAAGCTATGTGTTTACACTGCTGGAAAATCTCATTAAATAACTTTGTTAAATATATTTTTATTAGTTTATGAAATGGTAAATAAAATGCAAAGTAATTGAATGCTGGATAAGTAAATAGGAGTTTACAAGGCATTGATTTTATTTAGCATTTAATTTACTGGAGATTTTATTGCAGTACACCACTTCCAAAGTGATTCCTTAAGTCCTATGTAGAACTTACTCCACAATGTCACAGACTAAAGAGATACTAGACATGGATTGAAAGAAAGGTAGTGAGCACTGGTTGGAGCTAACCATTAATCTTTGACAAAAATTACTTTCTTCCTTTAGGTCTTGATTTTCAGAATCACCTACAGTAATACATTTTTATTCTAGGTTAAAACTTTGCTTTTGTGCTTTTGACTTCAAAATTCACATTTCTTGATACTTCTTCTGGCTTCTGTTTTTGAAACTTCAAAGAACATTGTATAGTTTTACATAAACTATATTCATTTCAAAAAAAACTCAAAATTTTCCTTCCTGTAGCGCCTTTCTTTGATTACTTAATCTCTGTGAATGACATACTTGTTCACATAAACTTCAGAGTTTACCATTTAATTTTTTATACCTCTGCTCTAATGTCAGTTAATCCTTTCAATGAGTTTTTGCTTTGTAATATATCATATTTATCTCCAGTGCAAAGCTTTAAGGGCTAGAACCCTGAGGTCTCTTCCCACATTTTTCATTTCTTCCCTCTTTCCTCCCATTTCTTCACTTATTACTTGTTTTTATATCTACTGAAGACATACTTTGTGCAGTGCATTGTGTCAGGCTGTAGGACAAAGAACAATGAAAATTAGGCTTTTCCCTAGAGCAGCTTATAGTATAGAAGTGACAGGTAATCATAAATCCAGACCGACTTGGATTGACAGGGCAAAGTAAGAGCAATCTATATAAAACAAACAGAACAGACAGAATAGAAAACTGTAGCTGTATATTGGATGAGTTGAATGGTCTGTGGAATGCTGAAAACTCCTAGGAAGATCACCTCTAAGAATTATCTTCTCAAATATCATAATACTATGTGATCAGTATATAAACATAGAGTAATATACTGGAAAACAAATATGCTATGAATAGAAATTTAAAAATTGCTATTTAAAAATTAGTATTACTATGTAACCTGCACTTACCTGAAGAGAATGTCCAGCTGGACTTAGACTGAATCTAAAAGTCTCATTGAATGAGGGCTCTCGATCATGTCTACATACTCTTGTTTTTTTCTTGATCACCTTTTTTTGGGTAGAGATGTTCATTACATATAGTTTCACATATAAATCTGAAAATAAAGATTCAGCCTGTTTAGTGTCCATCAATCATCAGAGTTTCTATTGAAAGATTTATAATTGTATGTTGACGGTTTTCCCTAAATTTCATAATAGAGCAGCAGATTGTGTACAATTTGTTTCAGAAAACATACAGTGATTTAAAAATAAACCAATTGTCTTGGCAGTTTATATCTATCTTCCTGTTGTTTAATAAATATATATCTTGGGACAGGCATTTGGCCTAGTAGTTAGCACACTGATTAAGATGGTAGGTGTTCCATGTTGGAAAACCTGGGTTCAATACCTTGCTTTGATGCCAGAGCCCAGGTTCGTGCTATTATAGACCTTAGGAGGCAGTGGTGATAGCTCCAGTCATTGGGTTTCTGTTATCCATGTGGAAGACCTGGATTGAGTTCCTAGTTCCGGACTTTGGCCCTGGCCCAGTCCCAGCCACTGCAGCCATTTGGAGAGCAAGCCAATGGGTGGGAGGAATCTCCCTGTCTAACTGTCCCACACTGTCTTTCAAATAAATAAATTATTTTTTAAAACAGAAAGTAAAGATATCACTCTAATTTCTGCATTAAAATAGTAAAAGACTAGAATAAACAACTTACTCCATATAAAATAATTATTTTTCATATTCTCTGATACATTTGATACACAGATCAAATTTTATTGGCATTTCCCAGAACATTTAAGACATACCATAATAAATTCCTAGGTATATTATATTTATAATTATCATAAAATAAAATACCTGGTAAATGATCAGGAGACTTAAATTTGTAGGTGATGTTTCTGCATTGGAGAATTTCAACTATTAGCTGTTCACCATCTGTTTTCATTTCCTTTTTCAATGCGATCTTAATTTCTCCCATTACCTGAGTTTTAACTGGAAAATTTATTTAAAAAGTTAAGGAATTCTAAACACATTTGCTAAATGTTTAATTATTCACTCCTATATTTACTTATTGAGTGTTTACCAAGTACTAACCATCATTTTTCCTACTGCAGATACCCAGATGAAAAAAATACTGTCCAAGACCTTAAACTACGAATGGTCTCATGAATTAATTGATAAATTCCATAGATACTGAAGCAAAATTTGCTAAACACAAGGACAGGAAGTAACAAGGAAGATGTGAGGAAGTACTAATATATCAATGTTAATTTTAGGTCAAAAGAGGTAATATGTCAGACTACAAGAAAAGACATATACATGCAAATAATAATATTCTAATATAATTCATGGGAATAACAAATCATAAGAAACACAGTAAGTTGTTTGTCAACAATTGCTCATTATCAGGCTTTCTCAAGAGCACTTACTAACACAATTAAGAGTAACTGTTTATTATTTCTACTTTCTTTCTCCTTCCTTTGTAAAAGAAATAGCAAGAATTGGTAGAAACAAAATGTTGTAAGACAAAATATGATGAGAGATATAAACTGGACTTATTTCCCCCAGTGTTTGTCTTGGATCTTTACATTATTGAAGAAGTTATTCATGCTAGGTCAAATCTTTTATTCAGTCACTCATTTCTTCTATCAATTCAACATATTCATTCACTAATTCATTTATTAGGAAGGATTTTATTTCCCATTGCAGTCTGTGCTGAGCTTTCTGCTACAAAGAATGAATAAATGGTGAGCCAGAACATTCCTTCTTATTGGTTTCATGTTTTTTCCATCTATTGAGAAAAAACATACCAGTTAATGTCTAATTAATTAATTAATGTCTAATTAATTAATGTCTAATTAATTAATGCCTACTTAATTAATTAATGTCTAATTGTAAATAGAGGAAAGATTTTGAATTACAAGTGCATGGTTTCTAGAGAGATTATCACTTGCCTGGGGAAATGCTGCTGGAGCTGACACTAGAAGAATGAGAAACATTTAGACAAGTGCAATACATGGGAGAGAACATTTTAGAGAGGAGAAATTCTGTGCTCACAAAAAGGAACATAATATGGGAAATAAAGATCCACAAGATAGAAAATAACTGAGGCCATGTTAAGAACTTGATTGTTTTGGAATGTACTTTTAGCTTAGTGATTAATTTGTCCCAATTTGTATTGACTAGATTTGAACCCAGCTTCCTGCTTATGCCACCCTAGGAGGCAGTGCTGAGGACACAAGTGACTGGGCTCCTTTCATCTGCGTGGGAAACCTGGATTGTTTCCTTGTTTTTGACGCCTGCCTTGGTCCAGTTCTGTCCATGGGCATTTGGGATATGAACCACCAGATGGAGGCTCATTCATGCTATGTCTGTCTCTCAAAAAATACATTTTTTTCCTAGGACTGAAGATTTTTTCTTTCTTTTTTTAACTTTTATTTAATAAATATAAATTTCCAAAGTACAACTTTTGGATTATAATGGCTTTTCCCCCCCATAACCTCCCTCCCACCCGCAAACATCCCATTTCCTGCCCCCTCTCCCATCCCATTCACATCAAAATTCATTTTCAATTATCTTTATATACAGAAGATCAATTTAGTATATACTAAGTAAAGATTTCAACAGTTTACACCTACACAGAAACACAAAGTATAAAGTACTGTTTTGAGTACTAGTTATACTGTTAATTCACATAGTACAACACATTAAGGACAGAGATCCTACATGGGGAGTAAGTGCACAGTGACTCCTGTTGTTGATTTAACAATTGACACTCTTGTTTATTGTGTCAGTAATCACCCGAGGCTCTTGTCATGAGTTGCCAAGGCTATGGAAGCCTCTTGAGTTCGCCAACTCTGATCTTATTTAGACAAGGTCATAGTCAAAGTGGAAGTTCTCTCCTCCCTTCAGAGAAAGGTACCTCCTTCTTTGATGGCCTGTTCTTTCCACTGGGATCTCACTCTTTCATTTAGGTCATTTTTCAAAAATACTTTTAAAAGAATAATTCAGAAAAGATTTTAGTTTTTACTTCTAAAGAACAGAAATATGTTGAAAATCTGTGCACATGGTTCTAGATAATTTGCTTTCAAATATTCTGGTCACAGGCTTTCTTTTCACTCTTAAAAAATTTTGTTTAATTTTCATCTGAAAAAGCAATAGAGAGAGAGAGAGAGAAAGAGAGAAATCTCTCATCTACTGATTCACTCCCCAAATGCCTGCAGCAGCTAGGTGGGTCCAGTCTGAAGCCAGAAGCCAGGAATATGAATCCAGGTTTCTCACATGGATGGCAGGCACCCAAGTACTTGAACCATCATCTGCTGCCTCTAAGAGTGTACACTAGCAGGAAGTTGGATGAGAAGCAGAGATAGGACTCAAAACTAGGCACTCTGATATGGGATGCTGTGATCCCATGCAGCAGCCCAATTGCTGTGCCACAATGCCCACCCTTCTTTACACTATTAAAAACACAGAAGATCTTCAAAGAACCTTGTTTATGTGTATCATAGCTACTGACATCAGAAATTTTAAATGTCTCATTATTAATTTTAAAATAAAATTATATATTTAAAATACGTATTAATTCAGTTACTATAAAATAATGTAATTATAACTATTTGAAAGTGACAAGCCGGCGCCACGGCTCAATAGGCTAATCCTCTGCTTGCGGCGCCGGCACCCCAGATTCTAGTCCTGGACGAAGTGCCGGATTCTGTCCCAGTTGCTCCTCTTCCAGTCCAGCTCTCTGCTGTGGCCCGGGAGGGCAGTGGAGGATGGCCCAAGTTCTCGGGCCCTGCACCCGCATGGGAGATCAGGAGAAGCACCTGGCTCCTGGCTTCAGATCAGTGCAGTGCACCGGCCGCAGCGCGCTGACCACAGCGGCCATTGTGGGGTGAACCAACGGAAAAAAGGAAGACCTTTCTGTCTCTCTTTCACACTGTCTAACTCTGCTTGTCAAAAAAAAAAAAAAAAGAGAGAGAGAGAGAAAGAAACTGACAATATTTTCCAAAACAAAAATATGGAATGCTGTTTTTTTTATTTTAATAAATTACTGGCTTTTAGAAGACAAATGGGTTCTTATTCTTGTTTCTACATTAAATCTAGTGCAAAAGATTATTTTAGTTGCAGTAGATGAGGGAAGTCTGGTCTCACACACATATGCAGTTGTGATTATCTCTGATATTACACTAAGACTTCACAAGTGGTGCTTTCTTAATGGTTTGTGATAATGTGGAAGCTGATACCAAATCAATGGACTTTCTGTACTAATACTTTAAAAATCCATCAGTTCACATTGTATATTGAACAGATCTTTTAATTTTACCTGACTTTGCCAATAGCACATTTTAATTTTGGAAAATACTGATTCACTGAGTTATGCAGGTTTTTAAAATGTTGACACATTTAATATTATATTGAAAGCACATTTTAAAATATCAATACCGGAGTGTCTTGGCTTTCCATGCCTGAAATACTCTCATGGGCTTTTCAGCCAGATCCCAGTGGAAAGAACAGGTCTTCAAAGAGGGAGGTGCCTTTCTCTGAAGGGAGGAGAGAACCTCCACTTTGACTATGACCGTGTCTAAACAAGATAAGAGTCGGAGAACTCAAGGGGCTTCCATAGCCTTGGAAACTCATGACTGGAGCATAGGGAGATTACTGATGCCATAAACAGGAGTGTCAATTTGTAAAGTCAACAACAGGAGTCACTGTGCACTTACTCCTCATGTAGGATCTCTGTCCTTAATGTGCTGTACACTGAGGCTTAATGCTATAACGAGTACTCAAACAGTATATTTCACTTTGTGTTTCTATGGGGTGCAAATGATTGAAATCTTTACTTAATGTACACTAACTGATCTTCTGTTAAAAAAAAAAAAAGAATTATCAATTCCCAACTTGACTCTCACTGGGATTAAACATGACAATAGGTCTGATCTGATTTCATCATCATTTAAAAAAATCATCTATTATTTTTCACTTTATGTTTCTGTGTGGGAGCAAACTGTTGAAATCCTTCCTTAATGTATACTAAGCTGATCTTCTGTATATTAAGATAATCGAAAATGAATCTTGATGTGAATGGAAGGGGAGAGGGAGTGGGAAAGGGGAGGGTTGTGGGTGGGAGGGACGGTATGGGGGGGGGAAGCCATTGTAACCCATGAGTCGTACTTTGGAAATTTATATTCATTAAATAAAAGATAAAAAAATAAATTAATTAAAAAATATATCAATACCGAGCTCATTAAGAAAGTCTTTGCTTTTTAAATATTTAAATATTCATTTTTATTTATTTGCAGAGAGAAAGGATAAAGAGAAAGAGCAAACAGCAAGCAAGAAAGATACAAATCTTCCATCTGTTGGGTCACTCCTTAAATGCCCACAGCAACCATCATCTCTTACTTCTCAGTGCTTTAGAAGGAAGCTGGGCCAGAAGCACAGGAAAGATCTGATCTAAAATATTCCACTATAGGAAGCAGGTGTCCCAGGTAGCAGCTTAATCTACTGTGCCACAATGGCTACCCCAAGAAGTCTATAAATACTGAGAAATTGTCAAACTCGGTGAGGCAACCCAAAGTTAAAATTTAATATAAAATATCACCAATTGTATAGTTTCCTATATTTGTAAAGGTATAATAAGTAAAAGTTGTATACATTTGTGTTGTACAGTGTGCTGTTTTGATACAGACATACAGTGTGAATTGATAAATCAAGCTAATTAATACATTCACCATTTCACTTAATTTTTTGGTGGTAGGAATATTTAAGATCTACTCTTATAACAATTTACAACCATATATTATTAATAACTATAGTGATCATATGCACAGTAAATGCCCAGAACTTAGAGTGACAAATTACTTTGTTAATTTTTGAGTAAATAACAGTCTCAATAAGCACCAAGTCTGAAAAAGCTTGCAATCCATTATTCCTTAATGCAGAAATGAGTGTGATCCAAAATGACTGACTGGAGTGTAGCCATGCTGACTCTG